AACTGTTTTGGGACTTCCGATCTGTTTAATATCCAAAAAACTTGAAAAAAGTTAGTTAAAAAAAAAAAAAAAAAAAAAAAGAAAGAAAGGGGGGCAACACTGGTAAGAAAGGATCCACCTACCACTCAAAAAAAAGTCAGCTTCAAAACATGTGTCAGCTTCGAAACTTTTTTTTTTCGAGTTTTAATAAAAAAAGGGCTACGGCCTTGGGATATCATCACTGAGCTGACCGGGCCCAGGCAATTCAGAAAAATGGTTACTCGTCAGGTTCCATCATCTGGATTCGAACACTGACTGGTCTGTATTTCAACAGTTCACGAGTGTACGCACTGAGCTAGGCACTTGGGTTGCCTCGCAAAGTTTTTTTTTTTTTTTTTTTTTAAAGGCTACTTYTTTTAAGCCCAACCAATTCAATAACCTGTCGAATCTGGACAGGACGGCCTTTCAGGCCTTTTTTTTGTCATTATAGTATTACGGGGAACCCTGAAGCAGCCACATCCGTGCTCAAGGCTCCAACGAGGGAACATGCGGGAGCTGCACCCACCAGCAGGTGCGATACCTGCTACAGCAGGTGGGCGATAACGGCCAGGGGTCAGCCGGTAGCATCAGGGCCGAGCTTCTTCAATGAGCCAGTCACTGTGCCTCCCCTCCGGTCCCCTCCCCCTATGAGCATCAGCAGTCACTACTCAATGCCACTCGGGGGGACCAACGGCATATCGCTAGGTGGCAGGCGCCAAGCATGCCCGGGAAGATACGTGAGGAGGGCAATGGGGATTGAACCCAAGACCTCCTGAATGCCACTTGCGTGCCTTACCAACTGAGCTAGGCCGCCGGATTCCTCGCAAAGTTTGGGGAAGGGGAAATGGGTAATAAGCATACATGCAGAAAATTGCACACGCACAGCGCGCAAGTGCTTCTGCACAGTGTGGAGCATGGAGGAAATAGGTACCCAAAAGAAAAGGGGTTGCAGGCCTGAGGCCTGGACCAGTGTTCACCTGTGCTCCCTTTGAAAATTCGTAGTATTTTGTCTATTGACCTAGGCTACCAGAGTGGCCCGGGGGCCACTTGCCCGGCCGGGCCAAAAAGAAATTAAAAAAATAATAATAATAATAATTTTTTATTTAATTTTTTATTTTAAATATGGTAAAGAATTTCGATGTGACCCAGAGGCAAAAGTTGTTCAGTTTATTTTTCTGCATAACAGTCTGTTTTTTTTTTTTTTTTTTTAATGCTCCGACCTTCCCTGGTCCTTGCACGGCCGGGCAGTCCGGGAAAATAGGGTGACCCGGGCAGCCTGGCTGGTAGCGCACGCACAGCGCATGAGTGCTTCTGCACAGTGTGGTGCGTGGGGGAAATAGGTACCCAGAAAAGAAGGGGTTCAGGCCTGGATCAGTGGTCATCTGTGTCCCTTCTGAAAATTCGTAGTATTTTGGCTATTTACAAAGTGGGGGGGAAATAACTAGTGGGAGAGTAATACCGCCACCTGATGGTCGAGACTGATGTCTGCACGACTGTACTTGGAAAAGGATATGTTCTTTATGAGGTGCACTCCTCTGTATTGATGAAAACAGCAAAAAAAAAAAAGAAAAAGAAAAAAAAAACGCTGATGGTATGGTGCACGGACTGGTGCTGCTCGGCATGGCGCGGTGCGTGCAGGGTGTGGTAATCAATGACCTTCTTGTAAAGGAAGAACAGGCTTCAGAGATACGTTCCTGAGCTGAAAAAAAATGAAATACGGAATGCCGCAAATGAAGTGTTGAAATACAGACCAACGTTCGAATCCAGCCGCGATCAGATGAACAGAATAAAATTTCCTAAATTACCTGGGGCCGCGAAACAAAAAAAAAAAAAAAAAAAAATCACAAAAAAAAAAGAAAAGAAAAAGAAAAAGAAGAAAAAAAAAAGAGCGCGTCTTTTAAATCACCACTACCTTCCGACGACCATTCCGCGGAAACATCTTTTGCAAAGGAATTCCTGTGGGATCCAGGGCTAAGTGGTGCGGTTCCGTGCTGACACACATGGGCCTATGTATGATGTACTGGTGCGTTGAAGCCTTAAAATGTATTTCCAGTTTCTTAAATACAAAAACATGGACCATGACTTCTTTTCGGTTTTCTATGTTTTTTAAAACTGTTTTCGTTCTTCGCTTGTTTCTGTTTTTTCTGTTTTTTTTTCTTTTTTTTTACCTGTCAGGAGGAAAAAAAGTTCCCTCCGACCGCTCTGTTCTACGAATCGCTCCATGAATCACCTAATACGCTGATAATTGAGTTCCCTTGCACCCCTCTGGTTGAGGCCAGCCATTCCATGGCGCAGCCGTGCTCGCCTCGCATCTGGCAGGATGAACAGGCCTGATGCTTCGCAAAAAAAAGTATCCAAAGAAAATTTCTGAAAATATATAGGCGAATTGTGAACGTGCACGACCTGATGTACCTGGATGTTTTGTTTTTGTTTTTTTCGGGGGGGGGGGGGGGGAGCTACACGGGAGTCACAAAAATGAGTTATAATTGCA